GAGCATTGTATACACTTGAGGGACAGGCCCCTGTGAGGAACTTAACTGTGGCCTCCCCTTGCCTTCTCCTGGAAGAGCTAGGGGGTAGCTGGGTCCCAGTCACCAAGTTCAGAAGGGAGGAGAATAGATGTCTTCAGAGGATTCTGTTGTGGAGCACTTTCCGAAGGGTGGACAGCAGAGCCCAGGGTGGGCCCCGCTCACCCTCTTCCTGGACCATGGAGCCCCAGGCACTGCCCACACCTCACCGTGCAGGGGAAGGGAAGAACACGGAGAACCCTTGCCGGAGGTCAGGGGCCCCTCGGCCTGGAGGTTGGGGCCGGCAGGTCCAGGCAGCCTCGTTTGAAAGCCTTGGGACTCCAGGGTGGCTGGAGCCTGTTGGAAACTCAGCACGGTCTCTAGAGAGCAATGAGATGAAATACACACACATATCCTTGGACAGAGCAATCAGCCCTGCTGCCGGCATCCACCCAAAGATGTTAGCACACCGACCCTGAAGGCCAGAGGCACCTGGCTGTCCGTCACTGGCAGAGTGGAGAGCTAGAGTGTGGTGAGGACGCAGGATTGGTGTTCTAGGCCACAGTCCGAAGCAGAGAGATCAGATGTGCACAGGGCCTCATGGGTGGCTTGTAAAACATGGTTTGATCACCAGCACCATGAGTATTGGGCACGGATTCTCTTCCTACCGAGAGGAAGAGGACTTCCTAGTGGCTGATGCCAGGGCTGGGGCAGCGAGGCCTGGAGATGAACCTCACTGCAAAGTCAGGAAGGGCATCCAGAGAAGGCGTGGGGGCAGCTGGTCACAGGACTCGGGAGCCAGATCAGAGGGCCTCCCACTGGCCAAATCTGGGGCAGTTTGAGCACTGAAGTGATGAAATTCAGCAGGGAACCCTAAACTGCTAGAAACATAGGCATCCTGGGAGTAAATAATCCCAGGATAAATAGATCCTGGGAGAGAAGGGAAGGCTCTTGCCTACAGCAAAATGCTGAGGGGCTGCTGGCGCTGGAAAGTCAATTTGCAGCCTGCGTAAAGATCAGATCAGGCAAGAGTCAGCAGGTGTTATGCCTGGGGATGATGGATGTTAATTCTGACAAGCGGGATATTCGCATGTTCCTAAAGTGTGTCCCCGCAGACTTCTTAAAAGTTGCAAGGGAGGAAAAAACAAAACAAAACCAGTAATCACATGGTGGAGAAATCAAGTAACGCCCGGACTGGGTGATGATGGTTAACATCACATCTGAGGGACTGACGGATGGACACTGTGTGCCTCCGGCGTGACAGCCCAAAACCCTACCACCTCTTTCAGCCAAGGACCCATAGTCCCAGTCTCGCCGCGAGCAGTGCCAGACAACCACAAAACATGGGATTCTTTTTCTTCTATTTTACAATTTAAAAAAATTTTTTTAATTAATTAATTTATTTATTTTAGATTTTATTTATTAATTTGACAGAGATCACAAGCGGGCAGAGAGAGGGAGGAGTACAATTTTTTTTTTTTTTTTTTTAAGTAGGCTCCAGCACCTGGCTTGGGGCTTGAACTCAAAACCCTGAGATCACGGGTCACCTGCTGTATCAACTGAGCCAGCCAGGGACCCCAAAACATGGGACCCTTTATTAAAGAGAGATGATTGTCCTCATATTCTTCCAAAATGTCAGTGTCACAAAAGACAAATGAAAGGAGCACAGAGAGGCGACACCTGTCCCTACACTGGATCCTGGTGGGGGGGGGATGCTCAAAGGGACATGATTAAGCCATGCAAGAAAACAAATATGGGCGTGTTAGGGAAGGGTTCTATCAGTGTAAACTTAAAAAATCAATAGCTGTGGTTATGGCAGAAAATGTCTTTTTTTTTTTTTTTAAGATTTTATTTATTTGAGAGAAAGAGCACGAGCCGGGGAGAGGGAGAAGCAGACTCCCCACTGAGCAGGGAGCCCAATGCAGGACTCAATCTCAGGACCCTGGGATCATGACCCAAGCCAAAGGCAGACGCTTAACCAACTGAGCCACCCAGGCACCCCAGAGACTGTTTTCATTCATAGGAAATACACAGTGAGGTAGGGATGAAGGGCCATGGTATATGTATGTTACCCTCAGAACAATGTGTGTGTGTGTGTGTGTGTGTGTGCGTGCGCACATGCGTGTACAGAGAAGGCCCAGGCACAAACGATAAAGCAAATAGGATAAAATGTTAACCACCGGTGAATCTCGGTGGAGGGTTATGTGGTGTTCTCTATACTGTTTCTCCCTTTGCAGCTTTTTATAAGTAAGGAATTATTTCCAAGTAAAAAGGTGAAAAAAGTAACTTGAGAAAATCGTATTTAAAATGTCCCCAAGTAAAAAATTGTCTCATGAAGGTCTAAAGCGAGACATACTGGTAGGTTCCACTTGGATCAAGTTGATCAAGCAAGTGAATCAGTGGTGAGAAAAAGCAGGTGGAGATAAGCTGCAAAGAAGCACAAGAGCCCTGGGGAAATACTTGAAATGTGTTCTAGCATGTTCTGGACAGAGGTCTCAGGAGTGTGTGCTTATTTGTACATCTACCTGCACTTGAGGCATTTTGCTGTGTGTGTATCTAAAAATAAAAAAAAAAAGGTGCTTAATAAAAAAACACAGAAACAGATGAGATCTGTAACAGTACCATTTACCTAAGTTAAAAATATGCATATAACATGACGAAGTCGTCTAAAATGAAAAACAAAAACCAGAAAACCCTCCCTCTGCCCAGTACAGGTGCCCAAAAGAGGTAGAAGTTGATTCTTGCCATTACTGATGGCCCGAGGTTGTGCAAGACTCAGGGGTGAGGTCCTGGCCCTGTCTTGGGCTGGGGTGGGAGGTCACATGGTGTGTGGGTGGCTTGCAGAGTTGGAGGAAGGTGGGGTTGGGGTTTGTCTGCCTCTGGGGCACTGGTCCCCAGGCCTGTGTGTGTGAGAGCCTTGACTCCTGGTTGTTGGCTGCCTACCCCGTCCAGCCACTGTTCTGAGTGCCTTGTATTATCTAAGACTCATAAGAACCCTGTTGGAAAGATGGTGTTATTTCTCCCATTTCACAGATGACAAAACTGAGTCACAGAAAGTTGGATCAATTTGCCCAAAGATACACAGCTAGAAAATGGGAGAACCAGAGCCTGAGCCCAGGTGGCCTGGGTTCCAGCCACCTGAGTAGAGATTCCTTCACGGGTGGTCCAAGGCAGGGAACGGAAGCACAGGTTGCTTGTCCCACAGATGTCCCTGGGCCCAGATGGGAGGGCCTGGCTCCCTGGGCTGAGAGGTCCTACAGGCTTTGGTGTTCGTAGCTGCCTGCAGAGCTGTGCCCTCAGGATCCAGGCTGGGACGATGTCATTCTAGAGGCCATCGACAGAACCTTCCAGTCCCCCCGCTGCCCCCAGCTCTCGCTCTGGCATCCTAGCCCCACTCTTCTGCCCTATTTCCCTCTGGCCACAAATACCCTCTTCCCCTCATTCAGACCCCGTCTACCCTTCAGGTCCTACCTGAGCCTTCACCTCTGTGTCCAGCCTGGCCCCTTTCTTCATGGACTCCTGCAGTCTTTTTTGAGAACTTGGATTCTAATCTGGGCTCAACTAATGATGTCTTTGGGGCCTTAAGCAAGTTACTTCACTTCTCTGGGCCTCTGTTTCCTTTCATATCATATCTGATGTTCAGGGAGTCCTGTGCAGAACGCATGTGCTCTCCCATTCATCCCTAAGCAGCCCTGCGAGTTATGTCCTGTGATAATGATGAAGGTTAGTGATGTCCTTTAGGCTCTCAGCTGTTCACGGGGGCTCCAGGGACTTGACCCGAAGATGGGGTGATCCTAAAGGTTAGGGGTGAGGTGCTATAGACTGTTAGCAAGTTAATACAGCTGCTGCCTTGTTCTGCTATTTTTTTTTAAAAGATTTTATTTATTCATTTGGCAGACAGAGATCACAAGCAGGCAGAGAGGCAGGTGGGGGGGAGGGGGGAGCAGGCTCCCTGCTGAGCAGAGAGCCGATGAGGGGCTTGATCCCAGGACCCTAGGGTCACAACCTGAGCTGAAGGTGGAGGCTCTAACCTACTGAGCCACCCAGGCATGCCTCTACTATTTTTATTTTTTAAGATTTTTTTAAAAATTTATTTGACAGAATCATAGCCAGAGAGGGAACACAAGCAGGGAGAGTGGGAGAGGGAGAAGCAGGCTTCCCGCCGAGCAGGGAACAGGGAGTCCAATGTGAGGCTCAATCCCAGGACTCTGGGACCATGACCCTAGACGAAGGCAGACGTCCAATGACTGAGCCACCCAGGTGCCCCTGCTTTTTTTTTTTTTTAATGGAAGTACAACTCATGTAACAAAGTTAACCATCGTAAAGGGTACCTACAGTTCAGTGGTATCTAGTTCAGTGTTCACAACTATCACTTTACCTAGTTCCAAAGTACTTTCCTCCCCCACAAAGGAGACCCTGCGCCCATTCCCACAGCCCCCAGCAATCAGTCGCTTGTCCACTCTCGGTCTCCGTGGAGGTGACTTTCCCGGACTTTTCTTACAAATGGAGTCGTACGCTTTGTTAACTTTGGTGTCTGACTTTTTTCATTCAGCATCTTGTGTTGGAGACTTGGGGCACGGACTCATGCCTCATTCCTTCCCCTAGCTGAAGTGTTCTGCTGTTGGGACATAACTAAACTGAGTCTGTCGCTCGCCTGTGGCGGGACACTCGGCTGCTGGGGACGTCTGTGCCCACGTCCTTGCTTGAGCACCTGTTTTCACTTGTTGCGGTTCTACCCAGAAGCGACTGTGCTGAGAGAAGAGGCAATGCTAGCGTTGGACTGTGTTTGTGTTGGGGGGGGGGTGCTTCCCTCCATGTGGGTGTAACAGTGCGGTGGGCTCTGAGGGCCCCCCACCCAGGGCTGGGTGCCAGCCGCTGAGCCCCACGTGCGATGGGTGATGGAGAGCTGTACCCACGTCTTCCTGCTGCCTGTCCTTCTCTGCCTGCTTACCCCGGCCCCCCAACCTGTCCTCTCTCCTCAACAGATGTGCCTGTGGAGAAGCTGGCCACCATGCCCGCCTTGCGCAGCGTCAACCTCCGCTTCAACCCCCTGAGCGCCGAGGTGCGCGTCATCGCTCCGCCACTCATCAAATTCGACATGCTCGTGTCCCCCGAGGGTGCCCGGCCCCCTCCAACTTAGGCCTCCCTCCTCATGGCCACCCGGCAAGGGACTGAGGCCACCTGGGCTGGCACCCTGAGGGGAGGATGTCCCACAGGCCCCTGGGAGGCCAAGCCTGGGGTGGGGGTGCTGGGGGCGGGTGGGCCAGAGAGCCCTGTTGGGAGGGGGCGCAGCCGGCCCGGGATAGATAGCTTAGAGCAGTAGTGGGCCCTGGGGTCCCCCGGGGCTGGAGCCTGGATGCTGGGCACCTGCAGCTTCTGTGTGCATCTGGACAGACGCCCACCCTCTACGAGCCTTGTTTGGGCAAAGGGGCAGCGGTGGGGGTGGGGGGCTTTGCCAGTCCTTTGAGTTCCTTGAAGGCTTTTTGGGCAACACGTGCCTTCAGGTTGCCTTCAGGTCATCAGGCCCCTTCAGAGCCCGCAGATCACTTTCTGGGCCACTGTGGGTTTGAGGCCTTGCTTCTGGCACTGAGAGCCAGCCGCCACCCTGAGAGGACTAGAAGACAACCTCCCTCTGTTTATTGCTTCCTGAGGAATGACCTGCATGGGGCCCTCTACAGGGTGCCATCCGCAGCCACATGGGTCTCTGGATTGGTGGGAGCCGGCGCCAGGAGTCGTGGGAACACTGTGGGGAGAGTGTGGCTCTGTGCTCGAGCCGGGCTGCGGATGTTTATAGAGGAGCCCAAGGCCCATCAGGCCAGGAAGAGGAGCAGATCAGGTCCGTGGTGATGAAGACATGAGCGGGGCAGGCAGTTCTGAAGGCTCCACAGGACAGACCAGGTGTGCCTGGCATCAGCCCTTGAGCCACACAGGAGGTGGCCCAGGAGAAGCCAAGCCAGTCGTGCCTGTGGCTTGGGTGCAAGGTAGTTGGCTACCACCACGGTCTCCTTCTGGCAGCAGCCTGGCCGCCTCCTCATTGGTCCCCCCGGGGGCAGAACGCACTATAGACCATCGGATTTGTGGCTAGCCAGCTCCCAAGCCTCCACCCAAAACCCTGCACCTAGTCATTTCTGGGCCCTCCACCTGGGGTCTAGGATGTGGCCTGGCCATATGACTGGGACTGAGAGGTTTCCCGGGACATGGGACTGCAGTGCTCCCTCTGAGACAGTACCTGGCAAACAGGGACAGCTGGTTTCCTATGAGCAAGGGGCTTGGGGCTCTTGCTGATCATATCTGTGGTGTGGAGAACCCCGACCTCTTGATCCCCCAGGCATCCGCCTCCCACCTTCTCATCTGTGGAGCCAACAGACTCAGAGCCCACCTGGCCTGGACCTTTGTCTTGGTCTGTGGGAGATACCTGAGACCCCGGGACATGGGGCAGGCCAGGCCACCCAACCCTACATCCACACATTGGAAGCCACACTTCCATGCCCAGGGTCAAGCTTCTCCCAGCCCCAGACCCTCCTTCTCAGAATGCCGTGTTCCTTGGCCCCTCCCCAGCCCTGGGGCCCGCCTCTGCTCAGGCCCCTGCCTCCTAGCAAGGACTGACAGGTTGGACCATTGTTGGCTCAGAGTGCTCAGCGTCCCAAGAGATGCTGTGTTGACTGTGCTCTGGGAAAGGGGTTTGCAGGGCAGGGAGGTCCGGATGGATCTTCAGGCCTGCAGCACTCAGCTGTGGACAAGTGGGAACTGTGGCCCCATCCGGGCTGGCCTGGCCTGGCCTCCCGACCCTGTGTCGCGGCATCAAAGAAGAAGTGCACTTTTCTGAGAGGCACAAAGGCACTGTGTGGCCAGAGCCTCGCAGCTCAGAGTGTGGTCTGGGGACCAGCAGCACTGGCATCCATGGGAACTTACTAGAAATGCAGAATCCCAGGCCCCACGCCAGACCTCCAGCAGCAGCACCTGCATTTCAAGGATTCCTAGGTGATTCCTAGAAGCACTTTATCGTTTGAGAAGCCAGGGCCTAGGGGTGACCCTGGGCTCATCCTTGGAGTGGAGGACAGAGGTTCTCAGCCCTCCCCCTGCTACTCCAGGTCTCTGAGGCTGTGCCCAATCCCATCCCTAAACCAGCCCCAGGACACCTCAGGCCTCTCAGATCTTTTCAGAGTTCGTGTGACTCTTGCAGCGAAGGGAATGTCCTGAAGTCCCCAGGAGATGAGGGTTGGGTTTGCCTGGCCCTCTGGCCACCGCCTGTCTGGTTACCCTCCGCATAGCCAGCTCCTGCTTCCCCACGTCCTCACATCAGGCCCTTTTGAAGGGGTTGCTTCTGGAAGTTGTTCTACTCTGCTGGGAGAGTCTGCCCTTGCCTGTGTGGGAAAGCCTGAGGTGCAGAAGAAGCCCCCAGATCAGAGCCCACAGGGTAAATGAGCCCTTAGCTTCAGTCTGCAATAAAGAACGCTTTGGTTTCCTCTGCTTGCTTGGTGCTTGGTTCATTCTTTCTGCACAGAAAACGCCCCCGCCCCACCCTGTAGCCTGCGTGTCAAACCTGAGGGGCTCCTCTTGTTGAAAGCTTGAGCTTCAAAAGGAGTCACCCTAGGGTGATACTCAGAATGATTACAGGCGGCTGCAGAGGTGACCAGGTAGGTGTGATACATGGCTTGGAACTGTGCTATTATAAGACCGCCAGACCCCAGCCCCGGCTGGCACCATAGACCTGGGAAAGGATGAAGGCACCTGCTGTCCCCCCAGTTTCTCCCTTACCGATGCAAGAAATGACACCCTTAGCAGTTCATTCCTCAGTGTCTGTGGCTCTCGGAGAGAGGCCTCTGGACCAGCACACCTAGGGAGCCGGCCAGCCACGCACATTCTCGGCCCGTGCCCTGATCTCCAGAATCAGACACAGGGTGGGCCGGCCGGCACCCTGTTTCATCAAGACTTCTGGGGGGTCCGCTGCCTGCTCAAGTTAGAGTTCGGAGTTCAAGTCGGGTTTTGTTTCCTAAATCTGAAAGGCCTCTTGAGTTTATTCCGAGTTGTGGGCCACGCAATCCATTGTTTTTAGTAACAACACTGAGGTTAGTGGGTACCAGGCAGTGTCTAAGCACACAGCAGAGCTGAACTCATTTGACCCTGTAACAACCCTAGTAAACTGGGAGTTGGACAGATCCCATTCCCTCTCCATGCCTATTTCCTGTTGATCAGGAGACTGCACCAGAAGATCCCTGAAGGCCTTTCTGGAACATTGATCCCTATTTCTTGATTCTGGGGCCTTGCTGTATCTGTCCCCTGTGGATGAGCCTGGACGCAAACTGCCCACCCCTCGCCCCAAAGCTCAGAGGACTCCATGTCTTCTGGTCGAACTCTGGGTCGCCGAAAATCGCACAGGCTCGGTCCCTTGGTGAGACAAAACTCCGCCTCGAGAGCATCTGACTAGTTAGTGTGTCCCATGGGATGACAGAAATCACGGCAATTAGATTTCGGAGTGTGATTTCAGGTGGGTTTTCAATGCAGTGGAGGACAGACACCTTGACTGAGACTAGGTGAGGATTATGGTCTGGTTTGGGATGGGCGGACCCAGCAGAGGGGCATTTTGAGACAAGGAAATCAGAGTCTGTAAGACGTAAACTCTTGTGATGCTATTTACTGAAGAATTGAGTGGTTTGTTCCTTTAAATGATTCAGGAAGCCCCGGAATGAACAATAAAGTTATTTACAACTTCCCCTTCTTGGGCAGAAGTTTCCTGGAACGATACCATTATGTTAAAGAAGGCAGGGGTATAACCAAGTCTTATGAATGTAGACAGGTGTGTGGGACTCGAGGGTTTTTTTTAAGTATTACTGAGATGTAATTAACATACGACATTATGTTAGCTTCAAGTCTTCAAGTGTCCACGATACTGAGTCTCTATAGCTATTGTGAAAAGAACAGCACCAGAATTCTGGTAACATCCATCACGGCACATAGAGGATACTGATTCTCAGTCTCACCAAAATACCGTGTAGGACCCTAGAGCCCTGCTTTGGAGCTGCCTTTTACACCAAACGTGCCTATTGCTTCTCAGAAAGCCAGCCCTGGCGTGGAGAGTGGCTCCTGGGAGGGTCTGCCCCAGAATCCCTGAGTGTAGCCCTGGGAGACATGCCAAGGCCAGGACGGGCGGGGGCCAGGAGTAGCCGGACCATGCTAGGGACCTGTGTCTCAGCGCCAGGTGGGCCAGACCCCTCCCTCAGGAAAGGGCCACGAGCTGGCTGCCTGAGGTCTGGGCGAGAGCACCCATGGAGCTCCTAGTCCTTATGAGCACCGGGCAGGCACGTGGATGTTTCTCCATTACTCTTAGCAGTCCCCCTCCTGGTGCCTGCTGTGCCAATGAGGAAGCCAGCTCAGTTCGGGGCTTAGCATGGGCCTGGGAAGGAGCAGAGCTGGGGTTTGAACAGGGAGACCAGCTTGGACAGAATAAGCAATGCCGTTCAGCTTGCACGCTTCCTTTCCCATCACAGTCCCGTGAAGAGGCCTCTCTGCGCCTTACTCTCCTCATCTGGGAAATGGGTGCTACCCCTGCCTTCCTTCCCTAACGTCAGAGGGCTTCACAACAGATGGTGCAGGTAAGCAGTGCTAGGGGGGGCCACCGCACACCCATCTTGCACACTCGAACATTCCTCTCCCAGGGGAGCACCGCTGCCTCATGCAAGCCCAGCTCTCCCTGCTGAGAACCTCATGGGGGTCTGGGCAGGGCCGCGCTGCTTGTCACGCAGCCCCGGGGCACACCGGGTGCTGGTGGGAGGCTGACTCCCACAGGGCACTAGAGGACAGAAAGATCCCCCCCCACCGACTCACCCCACCTTCACAGTTCGGGCACCCCTGAAGCTCTGTTGCAGGCCTTGGCTCAGGGCCAGCCAGGGCTGATGGCAGACTGTGTGTACATCTGAATTCTTACAGCCAAGGGCCTGGGCACCCTCACTCCTGTAGACTGGAAGCCCGGCAAGGTGGGTGTCTTCAAGGGTAGATGTGGCAGGCAGCTGCTCGGCCCTGCCCCGCGGATGTCGCCTGCCGGGGATTCCAGCTAATGAGTGCCAGGCACCTAGAGAACAATGTAAAGGGGCCGCTGGAGTTGTGCAGGGTGTGGCACCGGGTCTCTGACTCCCACAGAGATGAAGGTTCCCAGTACACCAGCCTCAAAGCAAAGCCCACACCTCTGCTCCTCGAAGAGTCCCTGTTTCTCTCCTGCACTGCACCCACGGGGGCCTTTTAT